GTCCCTTCCTGAATGCTCGAGCGTTTACTAAATTTCAGTATTCTTTTATATATAAGACGGCCAAGACGTGACGGCAACAATGTAATTGAACTGCAGATAGAGAGAGACATTGTTGAGTCGAGCACGTGAGGCGTTTGTTGTGAAGTATAGCGTGACTGTGAAAATTAAGTGTATTGCAAAGTTGTATTTAGAAAGAATAAACCAGTTTTATTTAAGAAAGGACTTGTATCGCTAAAGTTCTTCGGAAAAAACTTTTACGGAAAATTAACTAACACAATAATAATAATACCAATAATTAAAAAGAAAATCTGACGAAACTACATTCATTGAATGTTTCATTATAGTGCGCTGCCATAAGATTAATTAATGTGGAGTGATGTTTAATAGTAGTGTACACGAGTTAATTAATTTCGATTGTCTTTTCCAAAATTTGTCCCCCCTTCCCCCAGTGTACATGCTATCACTGGGACAAATCTAGGTGTAAAACTGAGAGATAAACGGTGTTAAACAAAACTTTACACTTAGAATGATTCTAAATAAAGTGCCTCAAAGTTCCATTCGATGCTTCTTTCATTATCGGGTGTGAGGTGAACTGACGAGAGTTGATAGAAGTTCCAATTTGGAATTCTAAGGCTGGTCATTATATGGGATATGGTTTCCAAAAACTGATTAAAAAACTTCATATGACAAGTATAATTATTTTTTTACAATTTCCACAAAACATTGTTGATTTCGTGATCATGCTATAGCACAACTGTACAAAATCATGGTGTACCATACATACGATATAAACCTGGTGTGGTCTTTTCTACAAAATGTCAAATCAATTGTGTAGATTATATAACAAGAAGAAAACTTTTTTGTTTTTGTTAAATGCTTAAAATACATTCATTATGCTTTATTAGGTTCGTATTAACATTCACATTACTACTTATTGTTTTTCCATCCAAGGATGAGCCTGGATGGCGTTGTCAAATGGTACGAGATAGTGTCTTCTCACTGTTTTAGTAAAGCCAACGAGCTTGTCCTAGGTAAAACTCTTATCTAGTCAAAATAGTTAGTGCAATGTTTGGGATATTTGGCCACAAAAAAGTAGAAACACTGAGAGAATTTTAATTTCGTTATTCATTAAAATATATTGTTGTAGGCCATGTACGTTTGTTTGTGTTTTAACTTAGACGTTCGTATTATTGTTTGTCTAACCTTAAGTTATGTGATGAGAGCATAGGTCAATGTCTGGGATTCCTGAGTGAGGTTGAAAGCCTTACAACTGATCAATGCTACATATTATATTACTTACTCTGGAATACCAATATATCTTCCCAAGGGCCCGGCATGGCCAGATGGTTAGGGAGCTCGACTCGCAATCTGCGGGTCGCGGGTTCGAATCCCC